TGGGACATGGTAATTGATTTTGTTTGGTTAGCCCAAATTGAAGTCCTCATATATCAACGACGGCAAATTATGCCGCATACGGATGCAAAAACGACGTCGTTTTATTAAAAAACGCGCGTCTTCCCTTAAAAAGAAAAATTCAGGTTCGATTCCGAGCAACAACATATGAATTAAAATTTCAGAATCGATGAACTTTGATTCCATAATTGATGAACTATGATTTCCAGAATCGATGAACTATAATTCCAGAATCTATGAACTAAAATTCTAGAATCTAATCTATGAACTAAAAATTCCAGAATGAATGAACTAAAATTCTAGAATCTATGAACTAAAATTTCAGAATCGATGAACTACAATTCCAGAATCGATGAACTATAATTCCAGAATCAATGAACTAAAATTCCATAATCTATGAACTAAAATTCCAGAATGAATGAACAACATAATGTTGTTGCTGGGAATCGAACCTGAATTTTTTTTAAGGGGAGACGCGCGTTTTTAATAAAACGACGTCGTTTTTGAATCCGTATGCACCATGCATGGTGCATGCGGATGCACAACATAATTACTCATCAACGATCTTGAGGTCCAATGGTATCCGGTTATTCCCCTAAGTGGGAGGTGATAGGTTTGTGTCTTAGTAGATGCATTTAATTAGTAGTTTGAGTATCCTTTTCCCTTGTAATAAAAAAAAAATTGCAGTCGTTATATTATCAAATGAAACTTCAGTTATATCAAAATGATGATGTAGTTGTGGTGAAATGAAACTGCACTGTATATAAAATGAAACTGAATAACATTTCGCATATTTGAGTGTATATTGTACAATGAAGCAGTAATTATATCAAAATGATCATGTAGTTGTGTTTTAATAAAACTATAGTGTATATAAAATAAAATTAAATAACATTTTCACATATTTGAGTTTATAAATATCGAATGAAACTGTAGTTATATCGAAATGAAACCGTAATTGTGTTGAACTGAAACTGCAGTGTATACAAAATAAAACTGAATAACAGAGTTACTTTTTGCGAAATGGTGCAAAACGACGGAAAATAAATGCCGTTTCTTTTCATTTAACAAAACGACGTCGTTTTGATGCACGGTGCATAATCAATTATGCACCGCGGTGCACGATATAATTTGTACCAAAAAGACATTTTTGGTCCTAGACTTATAGTGGCTTGGACAATTTTAGTCCTTTATAAAAAAAATTGCCATTTTATGGACAGAGTTATTGTGGCGAGGACATTTTTGGTCCTCCGTCTATATTTCTGTTGGATAACCGTATGAGAGAGGGGCAATTACGTCAATTTAGGCTATCTCCTTCTATCTATTATATCTATGTGTGTTTGGCGGCTTCGATTCTCCTTCTATCTATTTGATTAGTAACATGTTTGGCGGCTTCGATTCTCCGGCAATTTCTTCGTACAACTGCAACTTGGACTCTCCGACTCTTTCGAATTATGACCGAGAAGAAAACAAAACACACATAGATATAATAGATAGAAGGAGATAGCCTAAATTGACGTAATTACCCCTCTCTCCGACGGTTATCTAACAGAAATATAGATGGAGGACCAAAAATGTCTTCGCCACAATAACTCTGTCCATAAAATGGCAAATTTTTTAATAAAGGACTAAAATTGTCCAAGCCACTATAAATTTAGAACCAAAAATGTCTTTTACTCTTATAATTATTATACTATCGACCATAGTCCACCTTGTAAGATAGACTACTAACATAAAGTATATTTTTATTATACTAAAGATATATTTTTAATACATTAAAGATTCATTTTTCGAAAGTATATTATTTGATATAATACTAAATAATGAATTTTCAATATACAAATAATATACATTCAATATATTAAAAATGTAAATTTATTTATAGTCCACGATATAATTTGTACCCAAATTATCTGGTTTTGGAATAATTAATTTAATCACCTTCACCCCAAATGATTAGTAAAGTTACCTTCGGTTATCATTAATTCGTTAAGTAAATGAATTGTGGCTTATTGACGCAAGATTTGATTAAGTCATATTATGTATTTGGATTTAAATGATTATTATAATTAAATTCAAGAACATGATAATAACAAATGTAGACACAATAGTGGCATTGTTCATTTTGAGTTCATCATTGAAAAGTAGACATTAAATTCATAAGTTCTGAATTTAATAAAGTAGACATTAAATTTATAAGTTCTGAATTTAATAATTTCTAAGAGGATTAAGTCGAGTCCAGCAACCCTTCAATGAAAAACAATGACATACAAATCATTCTTTGTGAATTAAGCCATTTGAATTTCAGAGACACTTTAGTGGAACGTTTGAGACGTACAGTGAAGAATTAGAGGATTATCAAAAATATATATTTGTATCGCATTTATATGATAATTATGGTAACCCGATTATGGATTTAATGGGTCAAAGTACCTATGAAGTCCCTAACTATAGTGTTTTATTCAATTTAGCTATTTTAACTTAATTTTGTTGAATTTAGTCCATGTACTTTAAAACGTGAATCAATTAAGGACAATAACTAATGTTGTGTTGACATCATCTCTGCCACGTCATCATACTTACATGCAACTCATATATTATTTTATAAATATTTAAAATTAATTATTTTTACCATCAATATATTATATTAGTATGTCTAAAATAAATACATAAATATTTGCTTACAATGACATTTGAATACCTAACTTCTTACATAGACAAAACATGTACTCAATACCACTTTAACACTATCTAATCTTGTAAATTCATTGTACCATTATAAAATGAAATTTGTAGAAAATTTTAGATGTAATAAAAGTTTTCATAAAATTTAGAACAAATTGATAAGTAAAAAATTTTAAATTTTAATTAATAAAAAATTAATAATTATGATAAATATGCAACATTTTAATTTGTTATGATCTATAATATTTTAATAATTGACATTTTTACATTTTGTACTAAAATGCATATTACTTATTAGTTTATCAAAAAATATTAACATTAATAAAAATTTATTTATGCATTGATAATGTTAATTTATTTTATTTGAATAAATTAAGTTATGTGTATTTTAATATAAATTTAAACAATTTATTTGTTAAAAAAATCTAAATAAATTAAAATATTAAAATTTTATTTTATTTTTATTTTTAATTTTATCAATATAGATTAAATTATTTACTGTATCAATGTATTATTTTTCGTATTAAACTTCTTAATACAACTATGAATTGAAGATCAAACCAAGCTAGAGGATTGAAGATCAAACCAAGCTAGAGGATTGAAGATCAAATCAAGCTAGTGGATTGGAGATAAAATCAAGCTAGAGAATTGAAGATCAAATTAAATCAAGATAAAGGATTGAAGATCAAACAAAACTAAAGGATTGAGCAACAAAGTTCTTCATTGAAGAACAAGCCGCATTCCGGAGGCCCTTTAGCCAAATTTTCAAGTCAAGTAAACCAAGTGGAGAATCGGAGGACTTCTTGATAGAGATCTTGTACCCGTGCACAATTTTGCAATTTGAATATATTCTGTACAACTTTTTCTTATTCACAATACAATTATGAATATAAAGTTTTGTAATTGTGAATATAGAGTTTAAAAAGTTTGAATATAGAGTTTTGTAAATTTAAAAAAAAAAAAAAAAAACCATCTTAATACAACTACAGTTTTTTACACATCACATTTTGTAATGGTATTTAAACATTGTTTACAATGGAATAACAAATAAGAGTATGATAGAGTGTAGTGGGTGTATTCTTTATGCAAAAAGTTAGAGTGTACAAATCTCATTGTAAGCATGTATATATGTTTTTTTTTTTTTTTTTTTTTTTTTTTACATATTAATGTAATATATTGGTGGAAAAATAGTTAATTTTAAATATTTATAAAATAATATATGAGTTCACATGTAAGTATGATGACATGGCAGAGATGTTATCGTCAAATTGAAAAAAAAAAATTGTTTTACTTTTTAAAGTACATGGAATAAATTGAACAAAATTAAGGTAGAATAACTAAATTGAACAAAACACTATAATACAATGACCTCATAATTACTTTGACCAGATTTATTGTATATTAGTCAGGTTTTTATGCAAGATTCATCGAAAGGTTTAACGTTGTTGTTTATGTGGCCGTTTCAATCTAATTGTCTTCCCTATTCTTCAATATCTTAAAGTTTGAACTTCAAATTTCATAGCCCTTCATTATTTTTGCTGTGAGATGATAAATGAGGTAACCTCAAGATATGTACTGGTCTCTAGACTCCAAATATTTATACACTAACAACAACAATGTCAAATTTATACATCATTTTTTTGTCTTTAGGATTCAGATCCTGCACCTAGCTGATATAACACAATAAAACTTATTTAAGTTATTTGACTACTTGAGTTGTGCCCGAAGCAAACTCTTCAATGTTACAAGCGCTATAAGTAATGGTCCAGATTAGATCACATGTTCTCATCTAGAAAGTGGTGCTCATGGGAGTCAAACCCTATATATATATATATATATATATATATATATATATATATATATATATATATATATATATATATATATATATATAGGTCTGGTTCCTAATATCATAATGTTTCGAAATAAATATAGTGAAAAATTAAAAAAATTACACTTTTAGTCTTCATTATATGGTGAATGTTAGTTATATATATCAATACAATGTCTTCTAGTAAAAAGTGAAGACTAATATTAACGTCTATCACGATTAACCAATGGTTAAGGATTTTAGTAAAAATTAAAAAAAGAAAAAAAAAAGTACAAGATCAATTTTATAATTATTAAAAAATTTTAAGAGTGAGATTCATTTTATAATTATTACAAATTTAAAAATCTAGTAATGATAAGGTCAAAACCCTTGATTTCTCAAGATGCATGGAGAGTGTGAATGTGTTTGCACTATTCAGTCTTCATAGAGTAGGTGTTCTCATATAAATCGTGTGTGTGTGTGTGACTCATCTGAGTGCATGGATTTGTGGCATGTTGACAAAGAATTAAGTCCTCCTGTAGAGTAAAGTGTTCTTTGCATGGAGAGACACAATCAGCGAATGGATTTGTTTCGGATTCGTGATAGAATTTCTGGGGAATCAAATACTCCAAATAGTATGCAGTTTCCAAGATCATGTCCACTTCTGCTAATAAAAAATTACGGGCAGAAATCTTCTATCAAAAGGTGAATTTCCTTTAATTGGTGATCGAGTATAATACTATGATCGGTAGTATGTAATATGCAATTATGCACAACACATCTTTTAGTTTGATGCAAGTGTTTATATTCATGTTTGCACACTTTTAATTCTTCTCATATGATGCTAGATTCCGTTATTCCTAATATTTTATCTTCAAGTTTTTGTTCAACTAATTTCTCAATTCTTGTGAATTTAATTCTCAACAAATAGCAAATGGTGTTTGTGATCCTTTTTTGGGTTCTTAGCTTATTGATTTTGATTTTGATTTAAATCATAATTTACCAAAGAACTTGAAAGGACGGTCAATCGTTTTTCTTTAAAGTTCGAACTGTTCAAATACATAATAGTCCTTAAAAATTCTCGTATGTGGTCTATCCTTCTACCACTAAGTTGGGTCAAGGTCTTTTGGATTAGTCTCATCACCAATGGTGCTCATGCAATTGGTCTCAGAGAGAAGCAATGGATTGCATGTGAAGTAAGTACACAATTTTCTTTGCCAATGATTTTACAAATTCTTTGATATGTTTTAATAGTTTGACTACACGTTACGGGGCTATGACTAATAGAAGAAGAAGAAGATGGTTTACCTATTGGGGCTGATGATAGTATGAGAGAGAAGAAGTTGGAGGAAGGAAGAAACTTCCTTTTGATTTTATTCAATTTTCAACTTACCAAGACAATATAATATTCTCCCTATATATAGGAGTTAAAAGCTTAAGACATAAGGAAATAATATATATTCTAAAATATGGTTACTTAAAGTAAAAAAATGCAACTACTAATAAACTAGGAAATAATATAACTAAATTTATTTTAGCAGATTGGCAGGATCTGTATTGTATCATTACACTCTTCCTGGAGATCAAGCTTGTCCTCAAACTTGAAGCAGGTGACAATATTCAGGTTGATTCCATCACATACGTTCAGGCTTAATTCAAGAAAGTTCTCTGTGGATGCAAGCCAAGCAGGCAGTTTGTCACCATCCTCTAATGTCCACAACATTAAAAAAAAAAAAAAAAAGTGGCGGCATTTATGTCTGGGTAATGTATTTGCACCAACAACAGTAAGTGGTTTAATCATAGGGCCTCCTCCTCCAGGCAATATAAGGACAACATTCATAGATTGTGCAGCCTTAAGTAGTGATGCAACATCTGAAGGGTTTTAACCATTATCGAATATGGGCTGAGGGTTGCCTTTGTTGGTGGCTTTTTTTTAGGGCACTCGTGCTTTTGAAGGCAAGTGGTTTAATCATAGGGCCTCCTCCTCCAGGCAATATTAGGACAACATTCATAGACTGTGCAGCCTTAAGTAGTGATGCAACATCTGAAGGGTTTTAACCATTATCGAATCTGGACTGAGGGTTGCCTTTGTTGGTGGCTTTTTTTAGGGCACTCGTGCTTTTGAAGGTCCCAGTGCTCCTGGATTCTGTGACATCATTGCAGAGTCTTGTTGCTGACCCAGACGAGTATGGGATTGGGTACCAACAAATGAAGTCTCAACAGCAGCAGGAGGATTAGTAGGATTACCAGGTGGGATATTTTTGTTTGCCCCTGCTTGATTGGCAAGAGCAATGGCATGATTATGTGATGTGGTGGACAGAGCAAAGACCTTAGGCTACGGAGAAAAACGGGGGTGGTGATCCCCTATGTCTGTTGCAGTGGAGACCCATTCGGTTTGAGTAGCAATAACGGAGTCCTCTTCCTGGACAGGTTGTTTCCCTTGGTTGGTGAGTAGCTGTTGGACTAGTTTCTCCAATCTAGCAAGAGCAATTGCCTGGGTGTGACAGGATGTGGATAAGGAAGCAACAGTAGCGGACAAATTGTCAATTTTTTTGTGATGCAATTCCAAGGCTTTGACAGATTTCTATAAAGCTTTGATGGCGGATTCGACGTTCAATTCAGTACCCATGACGCCAGCAACGGGAACCAGATGATATGTTTCAGTAGCTTGACTACATGTCACGGGTCTATATATGGCTAATAGAAACCATGGGGGCTGATGATAGTATGAGAGAGTTGGAGGAAGAAATTAACTTCCTTTTGATTTTATTCAATTTTCAACTTACCAAGACAATATAATATTCTCCCTATATATAGGAGTTAAAAGCTTAAGACATAAGGAAATAATATATATTCTAAAATATGGTTACTTAAAGTTAAAAAGACAACTACTAATAAACTAGAAAATAAGATAACTAAATTGATTTTAGCATATTGGCAGCCCAGGATCTGTATTGTATCATTCTTGTGATATTCTTTTTAATTCCTCTTTCCCTTTGCAGGCTGAGTTGCCATACTTTCCTTCTGACTTTCCTGACTGCAATTCATATTCATATTCATATTCATGTTTTATGAAAATGGAAGCAGATGCTGCTGATGAAAAGGTGGAGAGAAATCCTCCTTCCATGAGACCCTTTGGATCGGAGTTCTAATTCTACCTCCATGGAACAGTGTTCACCTTGCTCTTGATAAAAGATCATTTGTGGAAAGAAATTATCAAGTGCAATGTAAAGACTTGAATGCAAAAGAAAGGACAAAAAATAGCCCAGACGCAGATGCTCATTGTCATATTCCGTTTGTGGGGTTTATAGCAAGGACATCCTACAGATCAGTGCAATACCACCTCTACTTATCTCGAATGACAATGCAAATAGCCAATTAATAACAGATGGTTTCCTAGAAGTTTAAACAGAGAAGATCATGAAGAGTAAGAAGTTATGAGATTGATCTACGCTACACTATAAAGGTATACAGGCCATTCTTGACTGACAGTCTAAAATATGTCAGATTACCTAAACGTGGCATTCATTTATTATCAGAATAGATTAGATGATTAATAAGCAACTTGAAAAAGTAAACAGGTGAACAAGTCTACAGCAAATGATCCATTTAAGTTGTAGAAAACTAAAAAAGGAAGAAGCTATTCTATGTTGAACACTGACCTTGTTTCTATTCTCTCTGTTTCTGTGTGTTTATACAAGCATGAGACTGATCTATATATACAAGGTAGATGGTGATTTTAAATGCCACAACTGAAGATGTTTGGATACTCTCATACCAAATTAAAGTGGAGCTGGAAAACCACTTTCAATTCCCTCACACTATAGGATCGGAGTAATTATATTACTCGTTAGAGTAAACAAGAGAGAGAGAAATGAAGAAAAGTTTCGGTGAGGCTGTCTGGGAGGGAAATGAGGTTAACATGATCAAAAGCAGGAGCAATCAACTATTCAATTCATGGTAGAGTCAGGTGCACCGACTCTGACCTATTATATGTTCTAATGGACTGGGGCTGGAACTTGTATAACAATTAAACCAATAGTTCAGATTTGCAAATGGCCTGGAGGCCAAGGACAACACTTTTTTCATACAAATCTTCCATAAGGCCTTTTACAAGTGTTACGTAACTTGAGAGATGTAAGATTGTGATAATTGATATAGATCCAGAGTCAACTAATAAAAATATGCCAAATATTTCATGCATAGCAACATTCATCAAATATAGATCATGGAATAATGAAGTTTCCATGATCTGCAGACATAGCATAAGGACTTACTTTTTGCAGTATTCATCAAATACCAGCCTTAGCTTATTTGGCGAAGTGTAAAGATGGCTGATTTGAACTAATGCACTGTAAAGTTTTGGACTGACAGGGTACATCTGCAGCTCGTTCAATATAGACTGCCACACTTTTGATAGTTTTACTTGTCTGTGATGTTTAGAAAGCATGGCAACATAATAATTGAACAAAGCTTCTACATGATAGCTGTTCCTTCTTCTTTCTGCAGAAATGCGTTATTAGAATAGTGATACAGAACAAAAGTCAACAGTAGGAGATGCATTCAAACATTATTGGTAAAGCACAAGGGGAACACTATATGATAAGATAAAAATGCCAATGCTCGTTATTGGTAATACAAGAAATTAAAGGACCAAATAGAAATGACTTTATTGAACGTACGGTTTTGTCATGGACGACTCCATTGTTAGGGTTAAAAATATATGCAGTAGAAATTTATGGTTAGAAATATATACAGTGCAATATTAATTACCGGGAAGAACCATTGAAAATGCCTGGTCAAAAAATTCAGCACTGGCCGTCCATCCAATACTAATTTCCTCAAAACAATATAATGCGGCTGAACATACAAGAGCAACTGACTGGTCATCTATCACACCATGTGTCCAGGTTGAACTGCATGGTTGACATTTGTAAGGACTGTATTTCAGGCAAGATCAAATAAAAAATTCACTAATAATATAGTAATACCTATAATTATTAATAATGAATTGAACTTAGATTTTTATTTTTGAAACATAACTTATGTATTTCACACCACTTCCCAGGCAAGATAAAATGATTCTGGACTACCATGAGAACTCTACTTCAGCATACCAGAGATATAACAGACTCGTTTCTCCGAATGATTAAAAAACACAAATAGGCCGGGAATCATCATCTAAAGGAAAAATGTCACTCTAAAGGCAATACATATGATTAAGATATATCACCGACACCCAATAATGAAATCTGAATGGGGATCTTCTTAGGAAGGCGGAAGAACATTTAATTTACTGAATGCTTGCAGCCTGGTTAGCCATTTTGTTTTCAAAATCATCTTCATTTTTTAATTTTTATGAACTTATAACATTATCTAATTTATCCTGTAATGACCAAAACATGGCTTGCAGGTTTAATTGTGCTGTCCAATGAATGGTCTTCAGAAATGCTAAGTTCACTATTCTGTGTTCTTTAACATTCCAGGGAAATGTTTAATTTTTGTTGTATATGTTGTCAACGTTGTCATAACAGGTGATGATATGGTTGGGATTCATGAACTTAAGCAGCTTGTACAAGCAATCACATGCGTATAGCATAAACCATGTCAAATTTAAGTACTAAAAACTAAAGTTAGGAGCATACCACAGGAAGTCCTTCAATGGATGACAATGCCATGTCAAAAATCTTTCTAGCATGATCAATATTCCCAAACACTGCCTCTCTCTGTGCATAGACTCCACATAGCAATATATCCTATAGTAAATATATAAATAAAATAAGGAAAAATCAAATGGAAAGTGTTTATGTGCCCAAGCATTAACCTGTCCACAAAATCATTACCAGGAAAGACGAAAATGAAAGGAAAATAAAATATCATCTTAAAGAGGGATGAGCTAGTGTGGCATCATAAACCAGTGACAGAGTACTTGCTTCGAATAGGTTATCAATAATAGCTTTCTATAAGTACTGTAATAGCATAGTGTATAAGAAAAGTCCAGAGACCTTCATTTAGTTTCTAAATTACACTGCAACAGTAAACGCTGAAGGTCGTTAAACATAGTGACAGTCAACCTTTCAAATAGCAACATGGAACTGTAATTGTAATCATCATCTAATCACAGCTGGAGCAGAATAGTAAGGATTTAATAACAATACTTGTTTGTTTGTTTCACATAATTTTATGAACTCCAACAATACAAGGAAAAACTCATTAAATCCACATGTTTCCTTATAGTGATTCTATTCCTCATCAAGAGTGATAATATTTGGTATTTAATGAGGGGTAAGACACAAGTCACAACACTTGACTTCTGAAGAAAGCAAAGCTAAGCAGTGCCATCAACGGCATAGAAAACAAGCATCATAGACACTTAGAACCTATATAATTCTTGATGTAACTTATTTTTCCCACATAAGCACAAATGAAAGATGTAGAACAAAAAAATGTATAAACATTTATGTCAAAGCATAAAGCATTCATACTCCCCCATCCTGTTTAGATATCCATGTTCTCTTTTTTAGGTCCTGCTAGAACTATGCCCACTTTCCAGTATAAGTAATCTTTAAGTATGCTTTTATTGCTTTGTTCAAATTAAAAGATGGAAAAGAAAATCCACACACACACACACTGAAAGTGTTATGGAATATAAATATTTTACTATAGACATTGCTTACTTTATCCCCATATCTATCCTTACATATTTAGTATTTTAGTTCTCTCTCAATTCCAACAGGATAGTTCCTTCTGCAATTTATGCATTCTTATCCCTCTGAAGTGCATCTGGAACAATTAATTGTTAATTTAGGGTTTTTTTGGGCTAAAAATTTCTATAGAATCCATAATATACAATTTTTACCAAACATGCAGAAGTGGTTTATTTAATCCATAATCTCATCATTTTGCTTAAAGAAGCTGTTGAACTCCAAAGTGAAGTGTGTATATTATACTAATACAATGCAGAGAACAGAGAAGGCCTCTGCTTATATACAAGCCAATGGAAACTCCTAACCACTCATTTCAAATTTCAAATGGGTAGTTAGGAGAATCCCTCTAACAACCTACTAACACTCCCCCTCAAGTTGGAGCATAAATATCAAACATGCCCAACTTGTTACATATATATGAAACCCGATTCTTACACAACCCTTTCGTGAATATGTCAGCCAGTTGATCACCGCTCCGAACATGTGTAAGTGATATTAGCCCTTGCTCCACTTTTTCCCGTATAAAATGGGAGTCCATTTCAATATGCTTCGTCGGTTCGTCCGCTCGTGAAAGACCGGATTATTTGCGATGTGTATAGCAGCACAGTTATCACACCACAAATCCACCGGTAACTTCACTTCAACACCCACTTCTTTTAGAATGTTACGCACCCAGACTATTTCGCTCGCCACATGAGCCATAGCCCGGTATTCTGATTCAGCACTCGAGCGCGACACCACATTCTGCTTCTTACTCTTCCACGAGACCAAGTTGCCTCCTACAAACACACAATAACCTGTCATAGACTTCCTGTCACCTGGTGAACCAGCCCAGTCTGCATCGGAGAACGCCTCAACACGCATGTACCCGTGGTCAGCATAAAGAATCCTTTTTCCAAGAGCACCTTTCAAATATTTCACAATCCGAACCGCCGCTTCCCAATGAGTCTGGGTCGGTGCACTCATGAACTGACTAACCACACTCACTGGAAACGCAATATCTGGACGGGGTGATTGTGAGATAATTCAGTTTTCCCACTAACCTCCTGTATCTCTCTGGATCTTCAAACGGCTCCCCTTCTCCTGCCAATAACTTCACACCTTGATCCATGGGCGTATCACACGGTTTTGACCCAAGCAGCCCCGTGTCCCCGAGCAAGTCCAACACATATTTCCTCTGTGAGAGGAATATGCCCTTAGAGCGTGCAACTTCAATTCCCAGGAAGTACTTCAACACTCCCAGATCTTTAGTATGAAATTCAGAGCCGAGAAAGGACTTGAGTGCCTCGATCCCTATCACTGCCTGTAATTACAATATCATCTACGTATACTATCAACAAAACACACCCACAGTTAGTATGTTTGTAAAAGACAGTATGATCATATGCACTTCTCCGCATTCCAAACTCAACAACCGCCCAAACCACGCACGCGGAGACTGCTTCAGCCCATATAACGACTTCTTCAGCTTGCACACCTTCCCAGACTCCCCCTGAGCAACAAACCCCGGTGGTTGCTCCATATAAACTTCCTCACGCAAGTAGCCATGTAAGAAAGCATTCTTCACATCAAGCTGATGCAAGGGTCAATGACTCGAGGTTGCCAAAGAGATAAATATACGCACAAATGTTAACTTGGCCACTGGAGAGAACGTCTCGGTATAATCTATACCATACGTCTGGGCGTACCCCTTGGCTACCAAGCGTGCTTTGAGCCTAGCCACAGACCCATCCGGGTTCATTTTCACCACATACACCCATTTACACCTAATAGCAACCTTACCAGGGGGAAGCTGCACCAGATCCCAAGTCTGGTTCTCCTCTACCATCGCCTCCAACCGTCATGGGACATAGCCTGGCTCAAAGATTTGGGAACAGGAACAGACTCTAACTGGGACACAAAAGCACGTGAAGACGCCGATAAATTGGTATATGACACAAAGGACGGAATGGGACGAACACAACGACGCGTACCTTTCCGAACGGCGATAGGAACATCTTGGTCTGTCGACGAAGATTCTGGTAAGGGAGGATTTACTGGTGGAACCGGTGGGGCTGCAAGCGCATCAACTTCTCTGGGCCGCCTGTGATAAACCTGCGTAACAGGAGGCCTAGACTCCACTCCTACGGAGTTCGGGATAGTAACAACATATGTCAGAAACTCATCTGTCTCGGAACTACAACCAGACGAACTAGGGGGCTCCTCACTGAACAAAGTGTTCTCAAAGAACGAGACGTCTGCAGAAACCAAGTATCGCCCCAAATCCGGGGAGTAACATCGATACCCTTTTTGAGTACTCGAATATCCCAGGAAGATACATTTTAATGACTTAGGATCGAGTTTCCCTCTTTGAGGACGAACATCCTGGACAAAACACGTACACCCAAACACTTTAGGAGGAAGGGAGAACAACGGTTTGGACGGATAGATGAAATGACAAGGACTCTGACCCCAAGGACCCTTGTAGGTAGGCGGTTTATTAAGAAACACGCCGTATGAACAGCATCTGCCCAGTAAACTCTAGGGACTTTCATTTGAAACAACAAGGCCCTAGCAACCTCCAACAGATGACGGTTCTTACGTTCTGCCACACCGTTCTGTTGGGGAGTGCTGACACAAGACGACTGATGTACCATCCCATTCTGACTCATATAACTCGAGAAGGAACGAGAAAAATACTCAGTCCCATTATCACTCCGCAAAACCTGTATCGTTTTATTGAACTGAGTTTTGACCATCGCACAGAAATTACAAAAGATCCCAAACAACTCATCTCTAGATTTCATGAGATATAGCCAAGTGTGTCTAGAGAAATCATCAACAAACGTTACAAAATATTTAAACCCAGATTTCGACACTACTCGACACGGCCCCCATATATCTGAGTGAACTAATTGAAATAAAGACTCGACTCTATTATTGACTCTAGGAGGGTATGGTACCCGACAATGCTTAGCAAGCTCGCATGACTCACATTGCAAGCCAGACAGAGATTCTAACCCCGGACACAACTTCTTTAAGACAGACAAAGGCGGGTGACCATACCGGAAGTGCAACTGCAGCGGAGACATATTTCCCAACAAACCAACCGAAACACTTCCAGAATCTTTGGACAGCTGTTCTAACACGTAAAGCCCACCAACTTCCTTCCCTTTACCAATAATCGTCTTCGTCAACAGATCCTGAAACAGACAATATCCAGGGAAGAACATGACACAACAATTTAGGTCCCGGGTAATTTGACTAATTGACAATAAATTGAATGAGAACTTTGGGAGATATAACACAGAAGTGAGAGGAAATGACGAACTAACACTCACACTACCTTTACCTAAAATAGAGGTGGATGAACCATCTGCCAAGGTAACCGTAGGGCCATATTTAAAGGAACAATATTTGGAAAACATACTTAGATTACCTGACATGTGGTCACTGGCTCCAGAATCAATGACCCACTGTCGAGACGAGGAGGAAACACAAGCAATAGGATTACCTGTTTGAACAAAGGTAGCTGACGGAGACGGCAATGACCCTGGACTGGAGACTGCGAGGAAGACAGCTTTAACTGATTAAACAAAGCCATTTCTTCTTCAGTTATCACAACCGTCCCTTCCGGTCTCGACGCAGAATTAGCAAACCTCCTATGGTTGGAGAGCTGTGGGCATTGATTACGCAGATGGCCGGGATCACCACAATTATAGCAAGCCCTTTGCCCTCGACCTCCTCCGCGCCCTCTACCTCGTCCCCTGGACCGACCTCCTCGACTATTGGCACCATCAGTCCCACTATCTCCCTGTGAGAAGAAGACTTGTTTCTCCAACGTACTATCAGTACCAAGGTTCACTGACGCATTTTGAACCATAGAAAACACTTGGTCGAGCGAGTCTAATTCCTTATTCCCCAATAATTGTGATTTCAAAACATCATACTCCTTATCCAACCCAGAAATCCAACTAAAAATATGCAACTGATCACGTTGTTTTTTCATTTGATCCACTTTATCAGTAATCGGCATAGTAGCTGATACATGCTTGGGACCAGGATTTTAGGAAGTCTTATTTTATTATATTATATAATTTAGATATTAATAAATTACTAAATAGTTATTTAGAAACTAATAAATAGTTATTTAGAAATTACTAAGTAGTTACTTAACTTATTATTCTTAGTCTTCGAATTAATTTAGGTAGTTTAATTATTTAGAAATAAACTAGAAGATTTCAACAGATTACTTAGCTTATTTAGCCATTCTATGAGTTGTATTTTACCCTATAAAAAGGGAGTATTATTGAGAATAATGGAAGCAGAAATTGAATCCCAAAAAGGGTCTAAGGGAGTTTTGGGTCTCAAGCAAACCCAGTGTTTTCTTCTCTTTATTTTCCAACTGTTATTCTCTATTCAATTTTCCTTATGTTTTCTTGCCCGTGACGTGAGAACACAACAGCAGCACATAATGCCTCACTCACATTCTTGAAGTCATAATAGTAATCCCCGATGTCCCGCCCTTTTTGAGACGGTCGATGAACATCCTGGGATAACTGATATAACTTCCTCAAATTATTCGCCCCGCTAAACCACTTATTCACTAAATCCCACACGTCTTTTGCACTCTTACAATGCTGTAAAGATAGGATTATCTTCCTATCAATACAATTTATTATACGTGAAAACAGGGCGTCATCATCTTTCTGCCACGCTTGGGCTTCGGTAGGGTCTGCCGGACATGTTCCAGTTAAATGTCCAGCTTTACCCATACCCTTCAAGTTCACTTCAACTAAGAACTTCCATTCCCCAAAATTAGACCCATCAGGTGCCCACATCAAATCAACCAATTTAGATTGTGTTGACACCACGGTAACGGTCCTATTTTCTGCCATAATAAACACACAAAAAAGACCAACCTGGAAACACAGCTTCACTCCTATGCAGATTACAAACCCAGCCCAGGCAGCAAACTCACGCAGCAGAGGTGGCAGATCTGGAAAACAGCCCACGCGAAATCCCCTCAACACCAGACGGAGATATCACCACAGGAGCGTCGGGCGCACGGAGACGAACCCAGCCGCGTCGGCGGCGACCGGAGGCGAGGTCGGAGGACGGCGCACGCGCCGGCGCGTGGCGTCGGAGGCCCTGGAGTGCGGCGGCGCGTGAACCTTCCGGTGACTGGTCCATTCCTCCCGGCGGCGGCGCCTCCTTGTTCCGACCAAAGCCCACCACCCACAGGCCACATCTATGGCTCAGATACCATGTTGAACTCCAAAGTGAAGTGTGTATATTATACTGAGATAGATGAATACAATGCAGAGAACAGAGAAGGCCTCTGCTTATATACAAGCCAATGGAAACTCCTAACCACTCATTTCAAATTTCAAATGGGTAGTTAGGAGAATCCCTCTAACAACCTACTAACAGAAGCTTTACCAAATGGGCAACCCATAGCAACTGTTTTACAGCTTCTTAATATCTGCATATATTTTGGTAGTAACTTTTGGTACTTTTATCATGATTTTATCTTTCAATAGTTGGATTGCTTGACTAAAAACAAATTCATTACTCTGTATAAAATTATTAGTCACCTTTACAATATTAGCCAAAGTTGCAACTTTATCTAGTTATCAACAAGCTGGTTTTCTATTTGATATGGACCTGGTTTACGGTTACCCAAGTCATGTTCATTTTAGTCTTGCCCAAGTTGTTTTAAATTGCAACTATAGGCTGTAATTAGTGGCACAGTCAATGCAATTATTACTTTATGCATGAAGATGGTAAGGAGCAGCAGCTCTGCAGCAATGCAAGTAGACAGTTGAGTAGCAAAGATGTCCATTTGGCCCAGCTTGCTTGGAGCTTATCTGCTCCAAAATGCAAAAGCTAAATATAGAATGTTTTTTCACACCACATAAGAGGAGAAGTCCTCTTTTTCAAGAAGCTTCAAATTAAGGCTTAAAATTTTAAATAAACAAAATAAATAAAATTAAACCCTTTTTTATTAAGAAGCAACCACTGGCCACACTGCATATGGAAACTTATTTATGAGTGATTAAAAAAAGCTTGTTCAGCTCCTTCCATGTTTGATAGAGTCAGCAAATCAACAACCAAAACAATTGGCACAGTATTCACTCTATTTAGAACTATAACCTTTTTTTTTAATCTTGAGAAAGGTAAATTAAAACAAAAAACTTTTCTGTCAAATACAAGAGTACTTAAATAAGGTCATAGTAGGTCAGTAGAGGTGTGAGGAAAATTTGTACTAGTTCTCTTTTTAATAGCAGAATCATCTCATTGTATATGGGGGTGAGTGGATAATGCAATATTTCCTCTAAGATGCCTAGCTCCATCACTTCTTTCTTTCATGAAAATTGCACTTTCTTGAATGCATTTCCCTGTGTCCTTTCAGAGCATTCACACAACCCTTGTCATCAAAGAATGTTAATAATCACATGATTTCCCACAACAAAGATTCATTTACTTCCCCCTTTGAGATTTAAGACGTATGGAAACTTGAACCAAAAGCCATCTCCAACTATTAAACTGGTGCAATATTTAAGTCATATATGCATAAAACATAACAAGCTAACACAAATAAATCATGAAAAAAAAAAAAAAAAAAAAACTCCAAAACTGACACACATTGGAAACAATGATATCAAGTATGCAATAATATGTACCATTGAGCCATCCTCCCGCCATAGAAATCAATAAATTGGGATACCAGAGACAAGCGTGCTTCCTTAGAATATATTGAGAATAGGTAGTCACTGACATCCTCGTATCCTATTACTCTCAAAAGTTGGTCATCGTCTGCAGCATGATATGGTTCATAAGTTCATTGCCATTATAAGTGTCAGCTATATCACATTATCACAGCCATACTCCATTTGAAAAATTACTTTTGGGGAAAGATAATAGCAGAAAGGAATTATGAGGCTAGGCAGAGGAAATTTCCTTGAAATTCACAGTGAAACTAGGAAAGAGGTACTAACCACAACTTGCACGAACAGGCATCCACTGGTGTGAATCCCTTTCTACCTCTTTTTCTGACCACCTAGCCCGCCCATGTTCTTGTGTCTTTGACCTCACCATTCACTTCAGCAGCAGCAGCATCAATCCCAAGCATTTTCAACAAAGCTTCAGTATCATCCTTCTCATCAGCTTCTTGCATTTCAGCTCCATCCTCTAACTCCTCGAGAACTCCATCACTATCTATCACCTTTTCTGAAACTTCATTAAATTCTTTGATTTTCGATAATGGTTCTGACCAACCAGTCCAACCACCTTCATCAACATTACTCGAAGATTCCTCCTTCACTGCCTGTTGTCTCTGTTCTTCCTCCTTTTCTAACCACGTTGACCAGCCAAGTGCTCCATCTTCCCCAACTCTAGCACCATTGCTACTCCAAAAATGTTCAAAAGTCTTCGTTTACTGTTTTTGCTAAGAAGAAAAGGGGAGAACAAGCTATATTCAATCTCTGCTTGAAACAGGGCAGTAGCCAACTCTTTGTACCCCGCTTGCCACTCAAACCGACAGAGAGACATAAATATATCAACTAAACCAACTTCTAGTTTTACAATAGCTGGATCAAGAGAAACTGGCATAGCACCTTGGCAGACCTATACCAAAGAAAAACAATGGAGCCACAATAATAACATGAAAAGTTATAATATGACAAAAGTGAATGCTAAGTGATCTCAAGAGAAGGAAAAGTCAAATGTTTGCAAATCAAGATTCAGAATGACAATCACATAAGTTTACAAGAATACATCCAGAGTGAAAACCTGCCTGTGCTGCTTATGACATTACTTTGTTCAAAGTGTGGTTATTACAATAGAATATTCTTTAGATGATGGGAAAGACCAACAGTATTTGCCCTCAATAATACATAATCACTTCATGTAGCATCGTATTTTAATTGATAAAAGATAAAAGAAATTTAGGCTGTGTTTGGAAACCCGGAAAATGATTTCTGGAAATCATTTTCCGGGTTTTTGGTGTTTGGTTACACTTGGAAAACTCAACGGAAAACATTTTCCGTTGACTGGGGAAAATATGCCCAATTTGGCGGAAAATGACTTCCGCCAAATTTGGGCGGAAGTTTCTGGCGGATTTTTTTTTAGGGTGTGTTTGGAAATCATTTTCCGGGTTTTTGGTGTTTGGCTGTGCAAGGAAAATGGAAGTCAAAGGAAAATGCCACATAGTCAATGGAAAATGAGGTCTCTTTTCCGGAAAATGACTTCCCTTGTTTGGAGGGGAAGTCATTTTCCATTCTTTGTTCTCTCATCTTGTTGCCAGAAAATTTCCGCGACTTCACCAACACCTATTGCGCACTGTTCTCTAATCTTCGGATTTGGTTCTCCGATTTGTGGCAGTACATTTTTCGGCGAGCAGCTCTACTACTCTCTGGTGTCCGACCGGACACCAGAGAGCACCTGGTTTCTCGCCAGAAACCAGAGAGCAGTGCTCTCTGGTTTCCAGCCGGAAACCAGAGAGAGATTCTCTCTGGTTTCCGGCCGAAACCAGAGAGAGATTCTCTCTGGTTTCCGCCGTCTTTCTTCTTCTTTTTTTTAAAATTTTTTTTATAACTTTTTAATAGATAATAATATTATTTGATTTCAAAAACATAAATATTTTTATATTTTAAACAAAATAATTAATTATATAAACCGTTTAATTATATAATTCTACCCCATTTTTCAGAAAATGAACCAAACACACAAAAGACAGTTTTCCGCTTTGCAGCCAAACACGAGAAAGGAAAATGTTTTCAGGAAAATAACTCATTTTCTAGAAAACATTTTCCAGAAGTCATTTTCCTACTTTCCAACGGACCCTTAGTGATAACAGCCAGAGAAAGCAAACATCAAAAACATTAGACACAATGAAACCAAATGAGGTGACTAACTATAAATTAACAATATCTTTTATGATTATCTGTAGCTCAAAGATGAGAATGAAAGGAATTTCAAAAACCAAATCTCAAGAGCAAGAGAACTCAAATATATGCATATCAATATCAGAAAGATCACAAACACTGAGGTTATATGAATATGTCAAAGAGTTGAGACCTGCCTATGCTGCTTACTGCATGCACCAGATAAAGCTTGTATTGCATTTGCATAAATTTTTCTCATTTCAGACACCTTGAATCTTGAAAATTCACCCTGAACAAACCGCAAAAATTCTCTCCACAAAGTATAACTGTCAGAGTTTTGCAGAAGTATCCTTTCCCACCGAACCGACTTATCAAGACATCTATACTATCTCTGCTCTGGTAAGCATTCATAAGAGAGAGAAGCAGGTCTTCACTGTCTGGATTAAGTTCAGTAGCCTTCTCCAGAATACTAATCTTCTTTTCAAGTATTTGAAGAAAATCAGCAAAGTCCAACCAAATTTTCTCATCATGTGGTCGTTCTCTTGTCATCTTGTTGAACTCCTTTGTCTTGCAAAATATTTCATCTTCCCATGATTCCTCCACTACAGTAGCTCCTGAAACTGATTCACCTCCAGATCCTTCATCAATCAAAGGGATAAAATCAACAGAATCTTTCAACTGGGGCCTTGCATGAGAAAACATTCGAGTTTGCTTCAAGTTCTTATGACGCTCCATAGCGGCATATTTTGCAGACCAGTAGCGACCCTCAGCTCTGAGCTTGCTATCAAATGCATCAACATCACCGTCTGGATCAAAAATGCTATTATGGTTCCACCAGAAATAAGTAAGCTCAAATGTTTTCCTAGTGTTATGAAGTTTGTACCGAGCAACATCCATTCTGCACTATCACAAATTAAATTCCAAAGTTACATTTGCCAGTAGTTTACTATAACAAAGTAGATGGTAAAACATATTAGCCCAAACACTATTTGGTAACAGAAACAACCGAGACACTCTCTTTTATTTCATGAACAAGTTTAACCAAATGTCCAAGGAGAAAGTACAGTAAAGGAGGGAAAAAAGTAGCATTTGAAGAAACATGTGTTTTTTGCTATTTAAAAGTTTCTATATAACTAGAGCTAATTCCACTATTTCCTTGGTCTCAAATTTCAAACACAAGAAACCAAAATATAAAATGAAATCATATTCTATTTCTCTCCTTTCATCAGCTCCTCCGGACAGCAAAGGAACTCTACTTCAAACCAAGTAAGACCACAAACTCAATTTCACTTGAATGCTATAGTTAAGCTCATAAAACAACTGCAAACCATCCTTACTGACCATTCCACAAGCAAAAAACAGGGTGTAAGGTAAACAATTCGCCACAGTATCCATTCTACAGATGGCATAAGAGGTTGGAACAAAATAATTAACCAAATATGATTGAAATTGGATCAATTTGGCAATAAATAAGAATGTGATAAGCCAATGCCATAATCAAAATTAATTACAAAATTTAAATGGTGAAAAGACAAATACTTATATAGGCATCCAAAGGCCAAATTATCACGATCAGCAGCAGCAGAAGACGACGCCCAGCTTCCCACATCTGGTTTTCGTCAAGAAAATAGAGCATGCTCGTAAGGCTTACGCGCATCAGCGGAGCGTTCCCTCCTCCGCTTCCGCTTCTTCATCCGCCTTTTACTTCTGCTGTCCCTCTCTTCGTCCGAAGGAGAAGAAGAGTGGCCGCAGTCTGATGCGGAGGAGTCCAGAAACTCGTACTGTGTTCGCCCAGAAACCCTTGTCAACTTCTTCTTCTTCCTCCTCTTTGTCTTCACGGAGATGTTAGTCGTGAAGCTGGAGTTGCGAAGTCAATCCGGAACAGCGGCGGCGGCGGCAGAATTTGAGAATTGAGGGAGACTGAATTTTGATTTCTGTTCAAAATTTTGAATCTTATTTAAAGTTTTTAGTAGAGTTTTTTACACTTTTGATCACACAACTATGGTGTCACTAACAATTTTGATACACAACTTTTAAAACTTGTAAAATTGGTCCACGACTATGACTTTCTTAACAAATTTGGTCCATTCGGTGCATTTTTTGTTCAATTTTTGCTGGAAAATTTTACTCTGATTTTAACATGGGAGTAAATTTGCTAAAATGTGGAGTAAAATGACTTTTTTTACCCATGTTAAATTGTGGAGTAAAATTTTTCGGCAAAAATTGAACGAAAAATACACTGAAAGGACCAAATTTGCTAAGAAAGTCATAGTCGTGGACTAATTCTACAAGTTTTAAAAGTCATGGATCAAAGTTGTTAGTGACACCATAGTTGTGGGACCAAAAGCGCAAAAAACTCGTTTCTAGTATTTACACCGGTGAATGTATTTATTATAATATATTAAAAATATTTGAATCATTTATATAATTATTTAAATTGGACATCAAATATTATATAGTGCAATTAAATATATGATTTGGACAATCTGGATTAATGAATAAACCAAAACGGATATGTTAACTGACTCTCTCTCAGATATCTCTTTGCTGGCGGTGACCAATCGGTCACCGGAAGACCAAGATCTGTTGGAAAGAAGTATAAGGAGAGCTAAAAGAGGAAGAGTTTTGGTTGACTCTGCTTTTCAGCCTTCACTGGATTCAGGATCCCAGGAAACCCCCATTGGACATGGAGCGAGCACACCGGACTCAGCACGGTGTAGAACTCCGGCAGCAACCCCGAACTATATATGGAATCGCAGGACCACCCACCAGGCGTATGATGATGATGCGGTCTCTGACGACGATGAGATGGATGAGGACGACAAAACTTACGATTACCCGGTCATCCGAGTAACTAAGGAAGAGAAAGAGATGCTGCGTTGTAACACTCCACTTTTCTTAAACCTTATTAACAGACTTAACCTTGAAAGGTAAACTAAGGCAGCGGAATAAACTTACTAAACAACTTAATAGAGGTGTCACCGCCACAATCACCCTTCACGGTGATTGCACATGCTAAGATTAAACAAACTAAATCATTAAAGTCTTACTAACATCAAACATACTAGGGGATAAGACCTCGGTGTACAGCACCATCAAAACAAAAGAGTAAGTCAACTACAAATCTCAAAACATCTAACATCAAGAGTTTAGATTACAACTAGCTATGAGTTTTTAAAAATAATACTTAGGCTCACTTTGACCACTTATGCATTTTAAAACATGATATTCTCAAATATGCACTTTACTGTAGAATGAACTTCAATTCTCTTTTCACTATGGATTCTCAACAATTCTATAAATATGCTCATAAATCATAATTTAACAAATCTTCATTTGCAAACACTTAGCAAGTATTCAACATGCTCTTGAACTCAAAATGTTCAACATAAACTCATTTACTGTAAACATGCTCTGTAGACTTAACATTCTTGGCAAAATTCTCAACAAATCATCATAGATATCTAGGCATGCATTTCTAGCAAATATTTAACAAATATTGATCACATTTCGTTATCTAACATTCATATAATTGTCATGCTTCTAAAATAAATAGCCAAGACCAAATGCTCAACATTTTCCTTCACTGTAACTACTATCAAACACTCTTTGTAGCATAAATCTCAAAGCTCAGCAAAACTCTTCAGTAAATGCTAGCAAGTAATTTGACATGCTTCTAAATCAAATAATAAGTATCTATCATGCTTCTCAAATCATAAGATATAATCAAATGCTTATTTCACTTCACTAGAATGCTTCACATGCCAAAATTTTCAACACAGTAGACATACTCTTCACAAAAACATCTATAAATCATGTTTTACAACTCCGAAATCAACGAAACGAATTTCCACGAGTGCGTTATAACGAGCCCGAGTCCCCAAGTCTCAAGGGCCCACGTGTCCCGGTCTGAACAGCTCGTAGCTGAGCCTCAAAGGGCCCGGCCAGTAACCTTTTTGGCCTGGCGGGGCTTGGTGACGGGGCTTGGGAAGCCCCACCACTCAGCTCCGCTAAGCCACGGGGCTTGGCAACGGACCTTGCCATAGTCCGTTGCCATGGTCCACCACTCAACGGGGCTGGCCAACGGACCTTGCCAGGATCCATTGGCTAGCTCCATTGGATGTTCCGGTGCACCTTCTGTGTGCACCAGACATCTTCTTCTTCACCTGTAATGTAATATCAGGCAAATAAACACTCCCAAATCATCAACAATAGATCATTTACTAAGTCAGACACAACACTATTCTTGCATTTCTACTCATTTCAAACACAAAACAAGACTTCATAGAGTCTAAAATAGCTTTGGGAGTCCATGGGGTTATACCTTTGTAGATTATTCTTCTTGTGTAAATCCCCTCCTTTCCTTTCCCAAATGACACTTCCTAGACTTTCATACAACCATACAAACCAAGCCTAGAGATAGAACTTCAGAGATTTAAGCAAAAGAAGATGAAACCTTAAGGTAAAGATGAATGAAATTAATTGTGACACCCTGTAATCCAAATTCAATTAAGGGATTAATTAAGTAATTAATCCTAAGCCAATTGGTGATTTAATTCCTTAAATTCCTGAAAATTCAATAGTTGGGGACTAGTAATTGACTAGTCAACCCAAAGTCAAGGTTGTACCTTAAGCTTTGTGAGTAGTTCCCTTGTTCCCTTACACCTCTTCATTTTAGTAAGGGTATTCATGACATTTCACCTTGTGTTAGTAATGCAAGCTAACCTAGTAGACACTCCTCATTTCTCTCCTTACACTTTCCAAACTTTAGCTCTACCTTCTCTCTAAAAAGGTAGATAGCTTTTCTTCCAAGCCAAGTTGAAGCTTTGTCAAATCTTCAAGAGTTGTCTCCAAGATTCTACCTTTCATACATTTGGGCATCTAGGAGGGTAAGATCTATTTTCATCTTGTGTTTTTAGTGTTTTTTTAGGTTGTCTTTTCTTAAAGATAGAATCTTTATGATCTTTTGGTGTGTTCTTGAAGTGGGTTTGGAAGGTGAGCCTTTTTAGGAGCTTGGTGAAGTGTTAAGTGAAGGTTTTTGTCTACAAGAGGTAACCCATGCTCTACAAAACCTATTTTGCTTACCTATTTGATGATTCTTGGATTCTACATGTGATTTTGCTATGAAATGTGAGTGTTTATGCATTGTCTTGTGAAAATGCATATCTAGAGCTTGTGTTTAGGATTCTTGTATGCCATTGCTTGGCTATTCCTTTGATTCAAGTCATTTTGTTGTATTTGGTGAGATTTGGCATGTTTTGGACTTGAATTTGAGCTTGGTGTTGAAAATCACCGAAGGGATTATTTTGGTGTACAGGTATGTACCCGCGGGCGGAACGGCGGGTAGTGGCCTACCCGCAGTGTATAAGTGAGACGTGGGTATGTACCCGCGGGCAGAACCACTGGTAGGGGCCTACCCTTGGGCCCACCCGCGGGGTACATTGTGGAATTGGGCGGGGATTTGTTCCCCGTGATTCTTTTGACTCGGTATTTGGTCTTTTGACTTCCCGATGATCTTTTGTGGAACTATTTGAGTGTCTTCTTGATGTTTCGTATGTCTAGAACTATATGATAGGAAATCCATGTAGGTTTTGGTGTCTTGAATCGTGCTAAGCGTTCAACATTGTGATTCGCTGAACCGTGATGAGTCTTGTGTGTTCCTCGGAACTACTTTCGGTTTACCCGTTTGATAATCTTGCTAGTTCGGTGTTTAAATGCTAGCATGTGTGTTGTTTGTCCTTTCCTATTGTTGATGATGACTTGTGTTATTCATCGTTGTTGTTGGACTGTGATACATTCCTTGATTGAGTATGGTTTCATATCTTCGTTGTGATCCGTTGATTGATTCCTATTGAGGTGTGATGTGTGTGTGGCTTTACCTGGATTGCACGATTAGT